TAAGAAGGAGTTAACTCTTTTTTTTTTTTTTTCTTTTAGTTGTTGTGAATGTTGCAAAGTACAGTTAATGTTAGTTTTGGTCAAAGATGGTAATTTGAAGTGAAAGCCTTGAAAAATCGAAAACAAGCAAGGATGAAATGTCAACGTATCTACTTGGAGAAATCCCCGAATATCCACTTTGCTTTATAGGAAATTCCTCTCCCCTTAGCTAAAATGGGGAGGGGGTTGTGTCTTCCTGACCCTATTTACTGGTGAGAGAAAAGTAACTTCATGAAATCTGCACATGATCCCAAGCCAGAAATCAGCTTGGAGGAAAAAGTGATCCATGAGCCTGAAGGAAACGGGAGACCTGGGCAGAGGTAACAAAACAAGTCGCAACCCAGAAAAACAGAAGGTGGCAAAATGAACCCACGTTAGAATATGCACTGACAGAGCGGTAGGCCACAAAGCTAGGACTAGAGAGGGGTTTGGAATTTTATGCAGTAACCTGCAAGTTAAATATTCCAGGAAGGCCCTACAGACGGAAGCTGGCAGGAGGCTGAGGTCTCTGGGGGACTGCAACTGCCAGGAGGACTGACGGCTTACCCCTCCCTTCCTCGGCAGATCAGAAAGTCAAAGAAGGTGAAGAGGCTAACAATACTGATTTACAAAGACAGCCAGGAGGAACTCTGTCTGGGCCAAATCTGGACGTCTGAGCTGGGGCGACAGGACCCAGACAACCACCTCAGGAAATGAGTAAATGAACAGGGGAGGCCGTGCAATTATTTAGCTCTAGAACAAGCTGCCTAGACCGGGGGTGGGGGGGCGGGTGCAAAAAGAAAATCTCAGAGAAGGGATTTTGACAGTGAGCACTAGCTAAGATACAGCGCTCCAGGCCCCCTGATGGCCCTTGTCTGATGCCAATAAAGACCGAGAGCATTGCATTAGCAAGCCTTGCGTATTCTGAGACATCAATAAAGTCTGGACTTGGGGCCAGTAGGGGGGCTGGGGTCACGTCCAGGCGACTCTGGTCTGCCCTGGTGCTCCTCCCCGGTGTACACTAAAGCAAGCGGGGTCCCCGGTGTACACTAAAGCAAGAGTAGCCGCGAGGAGAATTTATTTTAAAGTTGGGTACATTCGAGCCGTAGAAACAGGGACAGGAGGGGGGCTCTGTCGAGGGCCAGGAATGTGGGGGCGGCCTGAGAAGGAGCCCGGCCGGAGCTGGAGGCGCTGGCGGGTGGGGTCCAGGACAGGGGGGC